AAGACTCTAGAAAAGACTGGCACAGTTTTTGGAACTCTTCTCTCATCTTCCTCAAGCTTCCTTCTATCTTTTCAAGCATGTAAACTTTTTCCTGGTTTTTTCTGAGGAATTTTGTCTACCTCAGTTTAACCCTGAATTTTTGATTATACTGGAATTCTTAAATGATGATTGGCTCGAATTTAGGACTGGTTGATCTACACGTAGCAAGAAATGTAAACAAGACATGTAACTTCCACGTGTCCTATCTCGTACAATACAAAACCTAATGATACAATTGGATATAATAAAAAGAGCAAGGTAACAAGGTGCTCTTTTTGTTAAGAAGTGTTATAGTGTTTCCCCTTTCCCTCTTGAACTGGTTTCTTTTCTCTTCAAGATCAAAAGAAGTTTCATCCCAATTCAATAAGAAGCTTTTTCTTTTGTTAATTATCTTGAGAAGGCAACAAGCATTAATGTAAGTCTTGTCTTAAGCAATAATTCCCAATGGGTATAAGACTTGTTTTAAGCAGCATGTAAGTCTTGTATTAAGTACCTTGAACATTCTTGGTCAGCAAGAGAATGGTGGAAATTAAATAGTTTGTCTGGCTGCAGGTGGTAATAAAGAATTTATCCCGATGGATTGAAATTGATATTGGAGGGTTTTTATTTACCAAAACAAACTTTTCAACTACTTTTATTATCCCCCTCTTTGTTTTTTCTTAAAAAATAAAAATTTTTTTACCTCTTAGAACCACAGGTTTGTTTGGGGTAACAGTTTGAATGTAGGCTGGCAGTGATTTTTCAAAACACAGACTATAATGCCTTGTCTTAAAAAGGAGCAATATTATCATTCCCTACAATCATATCTAGAGTGTTTAGATTTAAAAAGTCTAAGATAGTTAGTATCATGCAATAATAGCTTAATGAACCTACTCCCTTGTAGTGAGATAGTTAGTAAATAGCTAAATCATGTGGCAACATGGTGATCTTAGTATTAAGGATTCAAGAATCATGTACAAATCTAAATTCATTGATGGATGTTCTGCAAAATTGTACTAGTTTAGCTTTAGTATAATATCATGTATATTATATTACTGTTGTCCAAAAATTGAATTAATAAACATTTTCATTTACAGTCTGATTAGAGGCAAAAATATATATATATATATTATATTTTATATATCACTTATATATACAGTACTGGTTATAAGTAATCTTATACCCTTTAAAAATTCAAATTTAATTCAATTGTTCTAAAAATTTTAGAACGAATAGCTTATTACAATTCTTAATCATCTGATTTTTTTAGATTTTTATAATTTCCAAAATAAAATTTAGATAAGAACCAAAATATTGAGATTTTTTTTTAACGAATTTTTTTTAATCTGAAAATTTTCAATAAATGATTCATAGATCAATAATTCTTATAGTTAAAAATTCTTAAAAAATTATATGTTAAAATTTAGGTCTTTTATATTATTGACAAAAAATTTAACATATTTTGATAAAACAATTGTCAAAAAATTAATTTTCAAACTTTAAGTTTGCTCCATAACAAAAAGACTTTCCGAAATACAGTTTTTATCAATTTTACTATATATTTTATTAACTTTTAATATTTTTTATAATAAAATATATAGTAAAATTTTTATAAATTATATTTAGAAACTTGATATTATAAAAATGAATAATAAAAAGAGTATAGATTTGATAAGTTTTGATGATTTTGAAAACAACTTGCAATTTTAAGATTTGAATTAATTATATTATTTTTCTATTATTTATAATTATTGTTCAATAATTCCTTTTGAATAGATTATAAACTATATTCTTAACAATATGCATATTAGTATTTTTTAAAAAAATTTTATGCACTACTTATTATACACCTATGTTGTATATTATAATTGATATACATATAAAAAATGACCATATTTCTAATATTCTTTATGCACAATTCAATAACATACAACAAAACGTTTCAAGAACTCCGAATTTAATGGATGATTATTAAATTGATTTTAAGATTTTATTGTAAAGTTTTTTTCTAAGGAAATAATGTACAATTATTGTTTTAATTATCAATATATATATATATATAACAAATCACTATAATACAACCCAAAACAACTGTCCCAGCTTGGAAATATTTTCTCTAGTACATGATAAAAGGTCCCTGACACTTTTCTTTTCTTTTCCTGTGCGCCAAATAAATTTTCGCATCCTGGCTTAGCACTTCATCCCCACCCATGCCACCACCACCAATGAACACAACCTCCTTTAATCTACGATGGGTTTCCAATTGTTTTATGTGTTCACGTTCGAACAACTTATTGTTACTATTGCCTATACATATCAATTCCAAATTTTGGAATTTATGGATCGAGTTAATTAATTCCTGTGGAAAGAGAAGGGCGGATGAGTAAGGTTGGTTACAGTAGAAAAAAAATGAAGAACGCAAACACCTACATCGGAATCCAATCCCACCATGTTAAACCTTAATCCCAAACTTCTAATGGAAGGACAAGTCTGAGCAAGTTTTTCTACTAAGGCTAAATCGAACTTCGGATAGGGAGGCTTCACGGTGATATCAGCCGTAGCAAGATTGTCAGACATGATATTCAATACCTCTAACATACGTCTCTCGTATCTCACCAGGGCCATCACCACGGCCGCGGTCATCCTCGGACGATTGGTGAAGGCAAATTCTACCAAACCTTGACACTTCTCCGTAATTTTTGAAAGTGAGATGTGAGTGATATTCAAACAGCCAAGAATAGTGACCCTCGTCAAGTTCGGACAATGCTCCGATAATTCAGAGATTCCAAGATCTGTGAGTTGATCACAATTCAAGATGGTGAACCTCTTTAAGCTCGTGTTCCGGCATCTCGCCAATGCCGAAACTGAAACATCGGTGAGATTTGTGCAATCTTTCAACTCTATTGACTCCAGTTGCTGACAATACTTTGCTATCGGAAGGAAGGAGTCATCTGACAAAGCATTTGCAGAATCCAATTCTAAGTGACGTAGATAATGTTCACCCTGCACCCATAGTTTTGCAAAGTGGTCAAAGCCTTGATAGGAACTTATTCTCAGACTAAATGATTCTAGTGGTGGAAAATACTGGGAGATTGATGCGGCCGTCTCGAAACTTATGTAGGGAAAAACAAGTGACAAACACTTTAATTTTGGTAATCCCGACACCAAGATTGTAAATCCAGCGGTCGTAGTCGTACCGCAAGTAAAACTTTGTAAATTTGGAAATGAAGCGACGATGGTGCTGGCCATGGTATTTGTGACAATACTCGAAGTGGTAAATGTTGAAAGCATTGGACAATTTTTCCCAATTCCTCTTAAGATTTCATTTTTACACTCATGTTTCCAATCTGGTAATTCAAGGTGTAATAATTTTGAACATTTTCCCTCACGTATGGGAGATAATGCGTTACTGAGAGATATCTGTTTGTGACCAATGGCAGAAAAAGATGTTAGCCCCGGGCAATTCTCAAGGAACGAAGAAATTGTTGCTGCCGAGAAGGCACGAGTGAATTTCACATGTTTCAGATTATTGCATCTTTCCGAAATTAATTTAACATCGCCAGGAAGAATTGAGATTTCAGGATGATGGGGACTCGATATTGCGAAGTTCACATGTTGTATCATGCTGGCGTAAGGAAAAGTCGTGTTGTGGGAACGGAGGGTACGCATGAATTTATAAAATACACTCGATGACTTCCAGGACGGTTTCTTCCATAATTTGTTCACGAGCACCTTCAATGATCAACGGGAAATCAGTCACATTAAAATATTTTGAGGCCTTTCGAATATTGTACGTATTGAATCAAATACGCACCAAAGTCCAACAGGAATGTACAAGTAATCCGTTGAACATGTCATCCTGATACTCGAAATATTCAAAGATTATATGTAACAAATCAATATTTAACAAAGCGGATTGACTGACAAAAGTGGTTTGTTGCTCCATCCTTAATTACGTATCCGTGATGAACTGTGTGTACAATAAGACGTGTGAGTGTAAAAAAAAGAAAAGAAATTTTGAAGTAACGAAAAGAAACCATTTACGAACACAATGGGTCTAATAAACCGCACACCTAATTGTAGTTTGTCACACTTTTCTGAGCTTTGTGTTGCTCTATTTATTTAAAGTTTTCAGACCATCTCTTATCGGTATAAAAGAAGGAACAATAAATGCAGCAACACAATAAGGCAAAACGACAATAAAATATCACTACAATAAGTTATTCACAATGTAGGTATTCCAATCTCTGCGTAACCATTTGCCGAACGACTACGTAATCGGAATACGTCATACGAATCCTTTCATCATGTTTGCAACGGGGACAGATGCTTGACCATTTCTCATTGTGCATATTTTCGTGTAAATGCTTACGATGTGACATAAGAAGCAATTTTGCACGTAAGATGAACATGTGTTATGGAGTATTTCGATTATAATTCCAGATCGTTTGTCTAAGGATCAATCGACCAGGATCACATTTATCTGTATCTCACATGTTGTCAACCTGCGCGAAGTTTAACCGTACGGAACAATCCGGCGCACGTTAGGTTTTCGAGTTACCATATTCGAGAAGATGCGTTCGTGCAATAAAATTATGCATTCTAACTGCGCCCTTTCTTTCTTAAGAATGAAACTTAAACTAAATTATATAGTGACCTCTCCGAAGATTATCTACACATACATACATGCACTGTACACTTGGTTTAGCGATAACTACTCTGTCCACGCCAAAATACCAAATCCAAGGTTCACGTGAAAAATAAAACACGTTCTTTCCATTCATGCATACGTCCATTCGTATTGTCTATTGTTTGACGATGAATTGTGGTCATCACTTGCAAGGATACAACGTGGATGCGAAATTTTCAAATGTGTATCAATTGAATAAACGGAACATAATGAACGCAAGCTACATAACAAAAGAGGGATATATACAGTAAATAACTACTGTCAGAGAAAGAAGTCATGAATGAAAATGTGGCTAAATAATAGATTAATTCACGAGCAGATTTTATGGTGCTTTTATATTTACATGGCGTCGAGAAGAATACAATGACCTATGAAAAGATATTGTTTGTTTTTCCCCGTTATGTCATCATCACAACAAAAAATTTCCAAAATCGTGTAATATCCCTTTGAACCATTGTATGCAACTTTAAATAAAATCATTTGAATAAGTAAAAGAAATTCTAATTATTTTTTTGAATAAATAAATAATAATCAAATGCTATAAATTATTAAAATAATAAATCAACATTTGCATTATTAAGAAATATTCAAATGAACAAATTTATTATAAAAAAAAACTTACTGTTTTGTATTGCTAATAATAATTATTTTTTAATATAATTTATTTCAAATCTTTTAAATAAAATAAATATTAAATAGTTTTATTAATTACAAATAATAACAATAATTATTAATGATTTAAAAACTTGTGTATACTGTATATATCTTAATAAATATAGCATCTTAAAAAATATATAATTGAACAATTCAATAATTTAAAATATTATTTAAGTATAATGATAAATAATACAAATATTTTTGTTTTTTAAATTATAATATTTTTAATATTTTTAATCTGTGAATCAATAATACTGTTAGGATTTTTAACAATACTATTTCAGTATCAAGCCAATACTAAATTTACTATAGGTTTAATATAATGGTTCACAATTCCTATATTAAATTTATTATAAATTGATATTATTTTAATATCAATTTGAAATTTTAAATACAGCAATTAGTACTTTCAGATTTTATTATAAGATATCAAGTTCAATTCCAAAAAAATAGAATCAATATCATTATAACTTATCAAGTATTATTTTTTATATAAAATTATCTTTTATATTATTATTATTAATATCAATTAAAGTTTAATAAAAATTTTTTTTTATATTTTTTATTTCTAATACTCAATTAATTATTTTTTTTTTTTTGTTTAAATAAATTATAAAATAAGTAATATATCTGGTTTTGATTTTTTAGTTTTAAATATATATCAAAAAAAAACTAAATAAAAATCAAAATTTGCAAAAAAAAATTTATATACATTTATATATAAAATAAAATTAATATTATAATATAATTATAATTAATAATATTTTATAATAATACAAGTTTTAAGTTCAAATTTAAAAATATATTTTTAACAATAAAAAAAGTTTTTAAAAAATTTTAATATTTAATATAAATTTTTTATAATACAAGATTTTATATTTAAAAATTAAAACTTTTTAATAATTTTTTGATAATTTTATAATTAATTATAATATATTATTACTTTTTTTTTTTTTTTTTTTTTTGTAGGTAAACATCATTTCTTTATTTGATTTGTATATAGCAGGGTATACATCGTGA